TGCTCTTTTATTTCCTCGTATCGTGGAGAGTCATCTGTTGCCAGCAATCCCCCCCCCCCCCCCCCCCGCCACATTGGACGACCGGAATCCGACGAACAAAACGTTGCCGGTAAAAGGTCGGAAATATACACATTTACCGGCATATAAGAACCCTCCGCACACATATGTTCTCGTTGACAGACACCCCGAAAAATCACTGTATTTTACCCCGTACGGATAACACATGCATGCCAAAGGAGGCGTTCCGCAGCGAACACCGATCGATCACACCGTCGAGCCATCCATCCCGCATTCCGTACGGGTCCCGAACACCTCTCGCGCAATGAGGCGCCCAATGAACCACCAGTCGAGAAGATAATGTCGTGGTACACAGGATGCGTGGTCCGTCCTCGTCCCCTCGCGCTGGGCTCAGGGATGACAAACGCCGCCCCACTCGGGCACGTTCACAATCTATCAAAACCTGAAACGAAAACAAGTGCCGCGCCAACGCTCGTCTGGCCTGGCCTGCCGTGAAGAGACAGACGGTACTACATACTTCTGCACCCACCTTGGTACTGTCGATGTCCCTGACGATGTCCGGGAAGAAGAAGTGGGTGTCCCCCGACGGGCGGGTTGCAACCATGGCCCTGCGAGTGCCTTGGCGGGGAACCTTGGACAGCGACAACGGTTCTTCTGGGCCCTCCACCCGAGGGTCGTGAATGAAAACACACCTGCTGCGCGAGAGTCAGTGCTAGGTGTAACCATCTCGTGGAGGGGGTTGACCAGGAAATCATGCACAGGAGAGGGCAGGCAAGTTCACACGCCGAGTGGTGGTTGGTTGGGTATGTTGTTGACGACAGAAAAGCGGTGAAATATTGAAGGAAAAATCATAGCCTGTGAACAGGTGGGTTTCATTAAAAAAATCGCCCCATATTGAAGGCTCCCGCCCGCGGCGCATTCAACGCCGCAAACACGGGAACCGAGTTCTCTATTTACTATCCGCTTTTTTTCATCCTCCGCACGTGCTATGTCTCCTGCAACACTCAGAGAAAACCGCGAGTATCTGAAGCTCACAGCTGGACATGTCTCCAAGATCCGCCGTCATGCACACTGCTCCAAATTTGGCAAACTGGCATGATCACACGACATCTCGCTATTGACCTCCCGGAAACGGTGCGCTAGCTGTCACACTACCACGGTCGAATATCTACGAATGTACATTCATTCATAGACCCCGAGGTGGAATGACTCACTCACCGTCTACGGTACGGGCAGCTCCCGTTCGCCACCCAGGTCTTGTGATGTCGTCAAGAAACATGTCGTGGCATCATGAAGAGTGCCACAGGGAAACAAGGGTTTTTGGACAGGTAAGCGGGGTGTCATCGTAGCTTGGCATCGTGGGGGGTGACGATGAATCGAGGCACCCAGAAAGTGAATGGAGGACGAACCGTGAAAGAGGTTTTCGTGTTGTTGTTCATCTTGAAGTACTGTACCACACACTGCGTCTAAAGCATGAACAAACAACCAGCTGCGACCAACGTCTGTCTCACCATGCAGGGGTGGCAGCGGTACTTTGTTGCGTCGGCGATTCTTCCAGAGGTTTCCCTGTAGGTTCAATCCCGCGAACCGGGAAAACGGGAAGTTCAAATGGGTTGCCAATAAAGACGTACGACGCAGAGTTGTCAATCTAGTGAGAAATGCCCAGAAAACTAAAACCAAACACAATTACGTTGTTTACTACATACATACACGCTGCCTTTTTCTCGTCCGAATGTATGTACAACAGTAGAGTGGATAACAACGTACTAGCACGATGACCCGAAAGAGCGACGCTTCTGAGACACGAAAGTCGCAGAAACGGCCGTCCGTGCCGAGCGGCCTCAGCAAGAACGTGTACTCCTGCCGTTTGAAAATAATACCAATTTTCGAGCGGTTTCGGCGCACGGAGCTCTGTCCTGCTTCCTCTTCTACTACTACCGGGAAAGCAAGTGCGTACGATTGTATGGACCGTGTGATCCGATGTAGGGTAATACGCAAACAGAGTGAAAAAATGGCATCTCATACATGGAGCGAAGGGTGGGGAGCTTGAGGTCGTTCTTGCCGTGGGCGTACGCGCAGCGGTCTACCGTGGGCCCATCACCAAGCAGCAGCAATGGGGGGGTGGATCACGAGTGGCAGAAACCGGCATCATCCACACGGGATTCATGAGAGAGAATGGGAAGCACATGCAGTGAAGGGCGTCGAGAGTAAGGATGAGGACATGAAGGGGGAAGGAACCAACAAAAATACCACTGTGGACATCGATTCATATGCGTATATCGAATCAACCAACCAAGTGCCTTCTCGGTATGCAAACTTGAAGGCGGGATGATGCAACACAACGACAACTTCATGGGCAGGGCGCTTCGCCTACATACCGCTGATGCCAATAGAGTCCACGGCTCTCGACCGTGGTGTTGTCGGAATGCGTTGTTGGAATGCCAAGAATGGATTGAGAAAACGCGCGGGAAATCATTTTCATCATCGTTGGGTAAACGGTGCGAGAGTGGCATCGGGGCAAGTCAAACGAACTTTGGGGGTATGTATGAGAACACACCAGAGCAAACCGACTGAACGGTATCGTCAGGGCCCATGTGTGTCCGCGAGTGGGCGCTGCTGGCCTGTTTGTCCAGGTGCAAGCGGACGCACACCCATATCGCTACCGTTCACAATCACTGCACGACTCTATCAATAAAGTATTTTTGAGTCGACTGAACGGAATGAGCGACACGTATAACTTGCACATATTTGTGTAGCTTCCAAGGTTGTGACAGCAGCAGCATGTTTTTGGCATCGATTGACAACCACGCGGCGGGCATCCAAACAACAGGCGAACATGTCAGCCTCCCAGCGCAGTAAGATAACACTTCTCATTCGATGGAATGGATGCGATTTACGGCACGAGCTCGCATGTTTTTCTTGTCCTCGTACCTCCATAGGCACACCGTCCTTGCTGCCAGTTCCTGCATATCTCGGTCTGGTACAAAGAAAACGCGGGAACGAACAAAGAGCATTTCTTTTTGGCGCCATAATATATCTATCTTCATGAGACGTGAACAACCGGCATCCATGGATAGCGCGCGCGTTCTGGAATCCCGCCTGCCTTCGTTTCCTCTCTCCCGGCACCACACAGACGAGTGGACAACAAGCCTACATATAGTCTAGTAGTCACGCAAAGAGAGAGAGAGAGAGAGCCAATCGACAAATCTCGTCTCCTCCTCTCTCTCTCCGACTCTCAGATTCACACCTTCCTGTTGAAGTCGATGATTGCCGGCTTGGTCGGTCGCGTCTTCGTCGTCCGCGAACCTGGTGTCTCTGCTGAACCTCCCAGTCGGGGCCTCGTTGAGACGCCTTCCGTCATGCTCTGCGGGTTGGTTCGCGGCATCAGGCCGTGCTCTCCCTTGCCGCGGGATAGATAGGTGTACATGGGCGCGCACTAAAATGTTGTTGTAAAATGTTGTTGCCAGAGGTCAACAACCCGGCAGACAAAGATCATCCTATCGCGGAGAGATGCGCGATGCTGAGAGCGAATTATTTGGTTCGGGTGTCACGCCAAGAGAAGGATGTAACCAGGGCTCCACAACTGGACAGATAGACTTGTTCGTGCCCCTTGGGCAGGGGTGAGCTCTTTTTACACTCACGAAGACCGGGTCGTGCGCACAGAAACACCTGGGCTAAGTATGCCCCCCCCGGCAACCAGTCACGCGCCACACTGACATGCAATGTGGGTTGTATGCGAATAACCGGGGTTCTGTCTCCGTCAGCCGGAAATGGGGCCTGCCGCCAGGGCCGGGCTGTTCGTGGATCTAAATCTTTCCTGCACACATCGCAGACCCCGCCCCCCGCATTCCCGCATGATAAAAAAATTCTGTTTCCTGTGATGAGCAAGAGAGAGCAGCAGGGCGGGTGGGGTGTGTGACCGACCGTTGAGAAGCGCGCATGCGCAGAAGACTCGTCAGAAGACCACGTACAGGTGCACCCCAGACGCGTACCGGTAATAAAGCAAGGACAGGAAAGAGAGAGAGAGAGAGAGAGAGAGAGAGAGAGAGAAAGAGAGAGGGAAGAGAGCGAAGGATGGATTGAAGTCCGGGAGGGTCTGAGTTTCATATTCGTTCTTCCAAGACACACGAGAAAAATAATTATTACCGGTCGAACGGCATGTGGTGAGTCTTTTCATGTTTTTTCAGTTTCTCCGGTTGGGCGCGTTGGTGCTGCTGAAAGGGGATGGAACACGGAGAGCGAACCAGCGCCCGCACAGCACACCTGCGTGCCACCTTTCAACGCTTGTACCAACAACCCCCTCAGTACGGTGGCGGTGGCAGCGATTTCCGTTGTGCGTCGGGCATTTTTGTCGAGCAAATCAACGGCATTTCATTTATATTTTTCCTTCGTCTGGTCGGTTTCTGCGGCGACACAGAAAATGTCCAGCGCACGACCAGGATCCACCAGTAGACCGTTCGCCACATGGTTGGTTGACTGGGGGAGAAAGCATGGGACAGACAGGATGCCCACTCTATGTATTATTGCATTTCTCCTCCCGCACTTACCCACACCAGAACCACCAGCAGCACTCGCCACCAGCATCCAGCACCCCGACACACCCGACACACCCTCCTGCATCCAACCCACAGTCCTGATGTCACGTAAAGCGTCGTCCCGCTCGAAGCGGGGGCAGCGTTCGCAGCAGCAGCTAGCGCGAAAGGAGACTGCCAACATGAGGGCGGCGGAGCAGGATCGCAACGCGAAGGCTGCTTCGAAGCAGGCGAAGACACCCAAGTCCAAGTCCAAGAAGGGTATTCCCAGTTCCTCGATTATCGAACACAACCGGAAGGTGCGCGGTCATTGTACTTTCTTCTCCCCTCATGCCATCACCACGCGGCAAGCAAGTCGATTTTTCGTTCCACTGCTGCTGCTGCCTGCTGTTCTTAATTAGCCAGCAATTGGTCCCAACAGATTGTCCCATCAGGTCTTTGAAGGGATCATACATATCCTTTGTGTGCCGCGCCCACTCTCTCTCCTCTCCTCCTTCTCTCACACTCACACCCGCCCCCCCGCCGCCCCTTCCTCTCTTCTACCTTGGCCCCAGACCGAGCTCTGCCGGAATTACGAGAACGGATCGTGCACGTTCGGAGGTAAGCGCTTCACATCGAGCATGCGGCCCACCAGGCCCGATTGATTCTATTACAGACACCCTTGCAGATATCTCATGCACACCCGACCTTTACAGCTGGGCTTCGTCGACCCACCATTTTTTTCCTCGGGGACCGTGGGTGAGCAGCAGCAGCGCGCGTCCAGTCTGAGCCCCAGGATACATGAGCGAATAGTGTAGTCTCCCACATCCCCGCGTTCATTGTAATCGTGTCGCATGCATGGAGAAGAAAAACGCATGCTCGAGTCCGGCCCGGCCGTGAAGATGGTTGCCGAGATTTCCACGCGCATTTCCTGTCTGTAACTACGGCCCTCGGCATATGTTTCACTCCGAGTCTGAAGGAGGAAGGGTCTATTCAAGAGAGAGTTTGCCGGCAGGATATGCCGAGGACCGCAGATATTTCTTTGTTTCCACGACAAAAGTCCTTCCTTCGCCCCCACCCTTTCGGCCTGGTTGCCTTTTGTTTACCCTTGCTGCCGGGGGTGCACGTTTTCGATTTTTCCCGCCCGCCCCACAGATCGATGCGCGTTCGCACACGGCTTGGACGACATCAAACACAAGACTCTACGAGACCTGTGAGTATTTTCGGACAATCAATTCCCCCCCAATCGGCCTCGAGCCACAGGATGCCACCCAGATTGTGGAGGATCCCACGCTTTGTTGTTGGGTTTGTTTACATTTATTTGTTACGTTTTTACCGCTAAAGGAGCGTAGCGGAGGCCTCTCGACAGTATTCATGGGGGAGAAACTGGAGTGCACGTGATGGAGCGAGATGCTCGCTCTGACCGCGGCGCGGGCGGTTTTCTTGAAACAATTTCGCTCTGAAGACCTGCACACCTGCTGTGGAAAAGCGCGGATGAGCAATGTTTTTCATGTCCACCCATACAGTTTGCCACAACCAGTCGTCCATTGAGCCGTGTGTGCACCCCCCCCGACCAAACGAAACAGTTCCTACGGCAGCCCGACAGTCACTCACGTGTTCTACCCACCCTTGCCCCGCAAAAATCAACCCTCGACGGATTTGATCTGCCTGCCCACAGTCTGAAAAATTGTTTGCACCAAGGGATATATTTGTAGACCACCACCCTCTCCCTCTCGCTGTCTCTCTCTCCACCGCGGTCGGTTGGTGATTTCGATATCTCGTCCTCTCCTCTATCTTGCCGAGGCAGGGAGAAGGAGGGACGCATCGCCGATGCAAGCAAGTACCAGGCCTGTCTATGCCAGGTGAGAGGGTGATACTCGAAAAGAGACACAGAGAATAATAATGCGAACGGGAAGCAGGCGTCGATTGAGTTCACTCTTCTCCCCTCCTCCAACCTAACGGCCGTTTACGTCCATCCAACCTACCGAAGAAGAAAAGGCCGATCGACCATGAATACTTAATATGTCGTACAGCATGTAAGCAAAACACATCAAAACCGAAAACCCACAGTACCTTGTTCGGTATGCCTCGCGCTCCCCCGTCCCCCATTTCGCCTCCACCTTTTCGCTGCCCCCCCGCATCCAACCTCATCGGGCTAACAAAATCTCATATTTTTCCCTCCGCTCACGCGCTTGCCGCACACGATTCATGAAGACATGGGTGGCCACTGGAACCTGCCTCTATGGGCGACGGTGAGCGACATTGTGTCACCGGGTAGACTATCGTAGATAGGCAGATTTTTACTGCTGTCCAGAGGTATCCTTGGAACAAGATGCTGTTCATCTTGCTCCAAGGAGACCACCTCTGAACGGTGAAGGGAGAGACCCCGACGCCGTTGTAAACATAAACCGAGAGTATTGGCGATGGTGCTTGCGGGGGGCGGAAGACAATGTCGGGCCAACGGCTGATATCGGACCACCCGTTGGCGTCGGGCCAACTTGGAGGAGAAACTTATTTGCTCTTTCCTCTCGCTAAAAAAGTAGACTAGGGGCTAGGCAAGGGCTGCGCGTGCTCAAGCCGAGAACGACGCGAGAAATGAACGCTGGGCAATGTAGAACATCAACATTTAATTTTCTGTCTGCGCAAGATTGCAGTCTAAGCCATTGATTCTTCTGTTTCCTTTGAATGCACCGCCATGCTGCCGCTTGGACGACCCAGTATCACAAGAACTGCGCCTACTAGATAATGTGATGGTCGGAAATGTTCCTCTGTTGGTGTAAAGGATGTACACTCCCTGCGATGGATGGTAGTATTGCGCCGCACTCCCTTCTTCCCTACAACTCTGCGAGAATATCTATCCACCTCGACGAGTTTAACCGTTGGCGAAACTCCAGGTGTGTCTTCATCCACGACGACCGTGTCAAAGGCACGATCGGACTTTCACCCCGCACGTCCACGCTGGCCAAGAGCGCTGCCAGCAGAATCAGCAGCAGCACCGGCAGCAGGGGCGGGGGCAGCGGCCGCGGGTCCTCTCCTCTTTGCCCCGCGGGGGAAGACAACGACAACGGCAGCCTCCTCTTCTTCCCAGACCGCCCCAGGGATCCCGACAGCAGAGAGGTGATACAACCCCGTCAGTAGCTTGCGACAGGTCTGTATTGTAGACGAGATGAACATATATTTTCTGAGCTACGCATTCACACACCGTACGACAGTGAACGATAGGAAAACGCGCTTACTCTAGGTGGTATGGCAGGGAGAAGTGCATCGTTTGGAGGGAGATAGGAAGCCGGGCGTGTCCCTCATGGTTGGTGAATGAAGAGGTATAAAGGCAACCAAAACACCCGAGCCACATGCAAAGCAACCCCTCACCCGCAACGGTCACATCGCCACGCGCACCAGCAACGATGATGTGCTCTCCCCGTTCATAGTTTGTGAGTTTTTTCTTTGTCGCTCCGTGTGTAGTCCGCCCAGCCAGGAAGATTGCGCCCTCACCCCCCCCCCCCCCC